ATCTATCTATCTATCTATCTATCTATCTATCTATCTATCTATCTATCTATCTATATATACATACATATAATTTTTTCCCTCCAACTACCCTAATACTGACAAAGGTCTCATGAATTACAAGTATCATCTTTCCATGCAGGAATGTAAACAGTTCAACCTTAATAAGTCTCTTATGATTTCTCTTTCCTGTTTACCTCTTCATGTTCCACTTGAGTCTTGTATTGGAAAGTCAAATTTTCTATTCAGCTCTGGTCTTTTCATCAAGAATGCTTGAAAGTCCTCTATTTCACTGAATGACCATTTTTTTCCCCTGAAGGATTATACTCAGTTTTGCTGGGTAAGTGATTCTTGGTTGTAATCCTATCTCCTTTGCCCTCCAGAATATTATATTCCATGCCTTGCGGTCCCTTAATGTAGAAGCTGCTAAATCTTGTGTTATCTTGATTGTGTTTCCACAATACTTGAATTGTTTCTTTCTGGCTGCTTGTAATATTTTCTCCTTGACCTGAGAACTCTGGAATTTGGTTACAATATTCCTAGGAGTTTTCCTTTGGGGATCTCTTTCAGGAAGAGATCTGTGGATTCTTTCAATTTCTATTTTGCCCTGTGGTTCTAAAATATCAGGGCAGTTTTCCTTGATAATTTCTTGAAAGATGATGTCTAGGCTTTTTTTTTTTGATCATGGCTTTCAGATAGTCCAATAATTTTTAAATTCTCTCTCCTGGATCTATTTTCCAGGTCAGTTGTTTTTCCAATGAGATATTTCAAATTGTTTTCTAATTTTTCATTCTTTTGGATTTGTTTTACAGTGTCTTGATTTCTCATAAAGTCACTAGCTTCCAATTGCTCTATTCTAATTTTTAAGGAAGTATTTTCTTCAGTAATCTTTTGGACTTCCTTTTCTATTTGTCCAATTTTGCTCTTTAGGGCATTCTTTTCTTCATTGCCTTTTTGGACCTCTTTTGCCATTTGGGTAAGGCTATTTTTTAAGGTGTTATTTTCTTCAGTATTTTTTTGGGTCTCCTTTAGCAAGCTGTTAACTTGCTTTTCATGATTTTCTTGCATCACTCTCATTTCTCTTCCCAGTTTTTCCTTTACTTCTCTTACTTTCTTCTCGAAATCCCTTTTGAGCTCTTCCAAGGCCTGGGACTGATTCATATCTTTCTTGGAAGTTTTGGATGTAGGAGCTTTGACTTTGTTTTCTTCTTCTGGTTGTATGTTTTGATCTTTTTTGTCACCAAAGTAAGATAATATAGTCTGACTCTTTTTGTGTTGCTTGCTCATGATCCCAACCAATTACTTGAGTTTTAAACTCTTTGTTGAGGTAAGAGTCTATTTCCAATGTGGAGAATGTACTGTCCCGAGCTTTGGGGGTTTGTACAGCTGTTTTCAGAGATACTTCTAGAGACCTGAAAAGTGTCAGTTCTTCCAAGGCACTATGATAAGGGGCGAGGTGTTTCCTCTCCACAGCCACAACAAGCTCCACCAGCCCAGCGCTCTTCCTCGCCTCAAGACCACCCCTCAGAACTGTGACCCAGATCCAAGCACAGATAAAGCAAGAGATTCCTGCCTCAGCCCTGGCAAAGAGATCCTTGCAATCCCCCTCCAATCAGCCACTCGATTCCCCCTCAGTCTGTGGGCCGGAAGCTCAGAAGCCAGCTGCTGCCCTCGGGGTGGCTGAGATCTAGCTTCTTCTCTCACTGAAGTAACAGACTTTTCCCATTGACCTTCTAAGTTGTCTTTGGCATTCATGGGTTGAGAAGTCTGGAAACTGCCACAGCTGCCTGCGATTCAGTCCTCTGAGACCTGCTCCAGGGTTGCTGTGACCTGCGTGCCCATGCCGAACTGTGCTCCTCTCCCAGCCTGGCACAATATACCTTTCTGATCAGCCATCCAGGTTGTCTTGGGCTGGAAATTTATTTTACTCTGTTTTTTTGTGGGTTCTGGAGCTTTAGAATTTGTTACAGACATTTTTTGTAGATATTTAGAGGGGCTTGGGGGAAAGCTCTAGCAAGTCACTGCTTTCACTCCTCCATCTTGGCTCCACCCCCATCAATTGTTTTTCCAGTGAGATATTTCACATTGTCTTCTATTTTTTTTTTCATTCTTTTGGTTTTGTTTTACAATGTCTTGATTTCTCATAAAGTCACTAGCTTCCAATTGCTTCATTCTAATTTTTAAGGAAGTATTTTCTTCAGTGAGCTTTTGGATTTCCTTTTCTATTTGGCCAATTCTGCTTTTGAAGGCATTCTTCTCCTCATTGCCTCCTCTTTTGCCATTTGGGTTAGGCTATTTTTTAAGGTGTTATTTTCTTCAGTATTTTTTTTAGGTCTCCTTTAGCAAGCTTGTTGACTTGTTTTTCATGATTTTCTTGTATCACTCTCATTTCTCTTCCCAGTTTTTCCTCTACTTCTCTTACTTGTTTCTCAAAATCCTTTATGAGCTCTTCCATGGACTAGGACTGATTCATATTTTTCTTGGAGGCTGTGGATGTAGGATCTTTGACTTTGTTGTCTTTTTCTTGTTGTATGTTTTGATTTTCTTTGTTACCAAAGAAAGATTCTGTGGTCTGACTTTTTCTTGTGCCTTTGTTTGCTCATGATCCCAGCCAATTACTTGAGTTTTAAACTCTTTGTTAAGGTACAGGTCTGCTTCCAGTGTGGAGAATGTACTGTCCAAAGCTTTGTGGGGTTTGTGCAGCTGTTTTCAGAGATACTTCTAGGGACCTGTAAATTTTCAGTTCTCCCAAGGTACTATGATCAAGGGCGAGGTATTTACTCCTTTCCTGGCCTGTGCTCTGGTCTATGAGTGACCACAAGCACTCTTTTCTGCCTTAGAACTGTGAGGAGGATTCCCTCTCCACCACCGCCACAAGCTCTACCATGCTAGCACTCCTCCTCAGCTCAGGACTACAACTCAGATCCAAGCATAGGCAAAGCATGAGAATCATACCTCAGCACCAGCAAAGAGATCCTTGTAATCCCCCTTTGATCAGCCAATTGATTCCCCCTCAGTCTGTGGACTGGAAGCCCTAGAAGCAGCCACCACCCCGGGGCCATGCTTGGGGACTGGGGCTGGGACCAAGCTTCTCTCTCTCACTGCAGTCACAGACTTTTCCCACTGACCTTCTCAGTTGTCTTGGGTGTTCCTGGGTTGAGAAGTCTGGAAACCACCACAGTTGCCCATGATTCAGTCCTCTGAGGCCTGCTCCAGGTTCACTGAGGACTGTTTTGCCTGCATGCCAGTGCCAATCTGTGCTCCTGTCCTTGCCTGGCACGATAGACCTTTCTGATTAACCCTCCAGGCTGACTTGGGCTGGAAATTTGTTTTACTGTGTCTTTTTGTGGGTTCGACTGCTTTAGAATTTGTTTAGAGCCATTTTTTGCAGGTATTTGGAGGGGTTTGGGGGAGAGCTGAAGCAAGTCAACGCTTTTACTCGGCCATCTTGGCTCCGCCTCCCCTTTCTGAGGTTAGGATGTTTAAAGGAGAATTAATACGTATGCTTAAGTTCCCCTAGTATGAAGGCAGGAGTTGGAGAGGAGAGAAAGATTATGAGCTAGGTACTGGGGAAAGAAAAGGAGTGTCCTAGAGGTCTGTAGACAACAGCTATCAAGATTTTGATTAGATGGTAGATATGGATTGTACGGATCTCAAAGGAGGAGAAGTAACTGAGTAGTAAGAAGAGTACCTAGAAGTGGTAATGGGAAGCATAGAGTATTTGAACTTTCTCACTTTGACCAATGAGATGAAGGGAATGGGTGAAAGTGCAGCCAGTGCTCAAAAGGGTGGTCACAGAGGCTGTTAATTCTTTCTCATTTATGATGCACAGGCTGGGATGTAGCCTTTGATTACACTACCACATATGATTATATCCTAACCTGATTTGGCTTCTAATCATTTGATGTATGTCTTTTCTGTCTAGTGAGATAGCAATTTCTTAAGGTTAGAGAGAGACTATCTTATGCTTCCTCTTTATCTTTCACAGATGAGAAGTAAGAAATAAGAAGGTGTTCAACAGAGGCTTGCTCAGTGATGGAATTGAATAAAGCTAGTTGTCCCTACAGGGACAAATCTGTGACTTTGTCCACACAGCCACTCATATATAACCACTGGGATTGCCACGCACAGTTGAGTAAAGGCCTCTCCAAAACCTTTTACTCGTTTAGCTGCTTTCCATGCTTCAGTTTTTCACAACAATAAAGGCTGCCATTTATTGTGACTTTCCTAAGGGTTTTGGGGTTTTACATTTAGGTTTCATAAAGCACTTTATGCACAGTCTCAACTGACCTTCACAATAATACTGTGTGGTATATAGTATTGGGATTTTTATTCTCATTGTACTGATGAGGAAACTGAAGCTCAGAGAGGTTGAAGTGACTTATTTAGGGGCACAACAGCAATTCAGAGCAGCACCCCAAATCTCAGCTCTGCTACTTGCGATGTAACCTTGGAAAAGTCATTTAATCTCTCTGAGCCTTACTGTCCTCAAATGTAAAATGAGTTGTACTAGATGACTTCTAAGGTCCATCCTCACTTATATCTATGAGTTTATGATCCAGGTCTTATGTAGCTTGCAGGGCTGTGGTAAGGCTCAAGTGAGATAAATATGAAGGAAACTTAGAAATCTACACAGTGCCAGGCAGGTAGCCATTGTTATTATCTTAATAGGGGTGATGGGGCCAGACCTCAGGTGGCACATTCCCCCTGGTTCCTTTACCCATTTATATTGTTATGACTGTAGATAAGATAATGAAAACCCAGTCAGACATCCGGTAATACTGAAATTCAAGGAATATCAAAAATATTCTTTCCTCCCAGGTTGGCTCGTAATCCAGTTGATGATGCAGGGCTATTTTCATTTGCCACATTTTCCTGGCTTACACCTATAATGGTCAAAGGCTACAAACACATTCTGACTATGAATACCTTGCCCCTGTTGTCATCTTATGACACATCAGACACCAATGCAAAGAGGTATCATTGCTTTATTAAAATATTTCTGGGACCTTCCATGGAAGTGTGCCTAAAGAACTCGATTTGCTTTGGGTCTTTCACTCAACTGTGATTGATTATTCTCTCAAAAGGGCATGGATTTAGGAAAATTGAACTAACCACAAAAGGCAGTCATAGAACTGGAGGTATAGGGGCTCCTCTTATTTCTAGATTGTGCTCTTTGTCCCTAGTAGAACTGGCTATTCTTCTCCCCATACCTCAGTGCCATACGTAAATGTTCTGCGCTGGGGTGGTATGGAGGGCAGGTAGGAAAAAAACTCCTGAAAGAAATGTGATTTTTAAATCAATTTAATTCAGGATAACCCTATCATAAGCACAGTCCCTTAACACAAAGTAGGGGTGGACTTCAAAAATGGAATCTTCTTGAATTACAATGCCAAGGAAGGTTAGGGAACTCACTGGGGGTCACATAACTAGTGAGTCTCAGAACCCTGGTGGGCACTTAACATATTTCAATGGAGGAGAGTGATGGTAATAGTAATAAGGATGGCAGTGGCAATCAAAAAACATTAGGCCACTGGCTTAGAAATACATGAGCCAAAGAGGAGAAGCCATTCTTCCCCTTTGCTTCCTAGGAAGAAGTTATCCTGTGCCTTCAGGAACTTTCATCCTACTTGTGCAGCTTCTCAGAGATGTTACTAAGTAGGCGACTTCACAACTTTCAGCTGTCTTTGAAAAAACTAGAAGAGAATAATAGCAAACAGATTGAGTAGCTGCAACCACCTCCTTCTTTTGTCACCTGTAATCAAGAGACTCACAGAAAGTCCCTTTGTAAAGCAATTTAGGGAAAAGGCAAAGCTGTTCTCCGGCAATCAGAGCTACAGCATAAAAGATTCAGAAGTCCATTTTACTACCTATTATATAAATTGTGTTATAAGACATAGCTTTTAAAGAGATTGGCAACTTAGGATAACCTCAGATACAGTGTGACCTTAGACCTATCTATTCTGAAGACAAAGAACTTTCCTGGGCCTCACTGGGCTTGAGGACTATGTGGCTGAGTTACTTCCTGGCAAATGCCTGTACCAAATGGGCATCTCTCTTAAGTGTGGAGATGTTTTCCAGGAAAGAAGTCCTGATCCTTGGCCTGTCATAGTCTGGCAGGATCTTTTGGGGATACCACTTTCTCCCTTTTCTGTTTTATCTATCATTCTAATCCTATCTTATCTATAGGATACCAGTTATAACTCTAATATTGCCCATGTCTCAGAATCACAGGGTTACAGGGTTGGAAGAGGGACCTCAGGGAATACTTAGTCCAACTTATACCTGAAAAAAGAATCCCCACTACAAAATAGTCAAGTGGTTATCTAGAACCTTTGTTTAAGACTATCCAATGAAGAAGAATATCATTTCCTCTTCTCCTGTTACCAATCACTGCCCTGAGACAACCTATTCTACATCTAGATAGTTCTAATTAGTAGGAACATTTTCCTTACATTGAGCCTGGATTTGCCTTTTGAAAACTGGTCTGAAATAAAACTAATCAAAGCAAAATGAATACCCACTCAAGTCAGTCACTTAGCTATAACTAGGTCACTTGGAAATATTATGATAGTTGCTTTAAATGGCACCCTTGGGATAACATAGGTCTCTCATTTCAAGGCAAAGGTTTTAAGGATCTTAACCATGGTCAACTTCCCATCACAGTAAGGAGGAATAATTAGGGAATAAATTAATATTACAAGTAAATTATATTTGCTACAACTTCCTCTCCTAACTCTTCCAACCTCTTTTCACAATTGATATTATGCTAGAGAGGACAACCATGGTCAAAAAATGGAGAGAGAGAGAGAGAAGTAAAGGGCCTGGTGGGTTCACAAAATTGGTCTTTATTCCCTTTATTCCTAGAGACGAGAGTTGATGGTACCCAGGCCAGTCCCAATATCACTTTATCCCTAGAGGAAAGGAATAGGAAGGGGCAATGCCTTGCTCATCCCCATATCCTATAAGAAGGTTTTCCATTGTAACAGCTTTTGCTTGCAGATGCTACCTATCAGTTAGTGCTGATCCTCCCCTTCAGACTTCACATAGCACTGTGCACTTTTGATGTATTGCTGTGTATAATAGCTCTCTGTTGATGTTTTATCCCTCTCTTACACTGTAAGCTCCATGAGGGCAGAGGCTATGTCTTATTTAAATTTTTTATCTCCCCTAGCACCTGCCATGGTGCTCTGTACACATAAGATGCTTAATAAATGTTTGTTGAATGAATATGAACAATAAAAAGAACAAGTGGAAATATGACACCATTCCTTCCTTCCACCTCCTTTCCAACCCAGGTTTTGATCCCTTTGGGAAGAAGAAGTAGCAAGGGTGGGTGCAGAAAAAGCTTCAGTGGGATGAGTGGTTTGGAGATTTCAGAGAACTTATGTTCTGATTGATGTCATAGCCAATTTCCTTTGTATCATCATGGCAGCCATAGGGCCGATGAGTGGGGATTGCTCTTCCACAGCCTCATAATTCAGGTATTTAAACTGGCAGAGAATGTCATTAGCTAATTTCTGAGTTAATTTATAAAAGTTATATTATCATTATCTTTGTGCTCCTCAGAGACTAATTTTCAAAAAACTAATTCTAATTGAGTATAGCAGTGACCACTAAAATTAATTAGATGGTCTGCCCTCTGAGTCAGAGAGCTGACATTTTTCATGAGGCCTTCTGTATTGGCTTAAAGCAAGGATCTTTGATATTACCCAACCAATTAGCCTGAACTCCACACTCTAGCCCTGAATGCCTCAAGGCAAGAAAATGAAGAACCTTCCTAGTGAGAGGTATAAAAGAAACTATGGTTATCTAATATTAAGGATATAAATATATAATGTATATACACACATTATATGTTTATCTTAGCATATCAGAAAGAGTAGACAGTCATCAATGTGGTAAGATTTTATAGGCCCTGGGAAACCAGGAAGATCATTTGTACTCTAAAAAATCTCTTTCCTTCTACCTGAAGGTGTGAGGGATTCCACCTATATAGTTTCATTCATTTGTCTTGGCTTGAAGTTTTCTTCCTGTTCAAATGCAAATTCCCCTGGAAGAGTTCCTACTTTGGGTGGTGATTTGTCATTTATATTGCAGAGTAAGTGAGACAATCAGATTTCTTTCTTCTGAAAAGTCAATTTGAATAGGAAGGAAAAGGTGAGAGAGTTTGAGAGTCCCATGGGAACAGAAGGGAACAGGGAGGCTGGAAGTGTGGATGACAAGCTTCACTTCTGAGGGTGCTCCTCCCTGATTGTGAGGGAGCTCATTAATTTGCGTCAAATGACTTCATAACTCAACACTAGCTTCCCCTCTGAATGGCTTGCTGTTATTCTTTGGCACCTATTGGTTCACTCTCTCTAATGTGAAAAAGTCTCTATTTCTGTGGAAGGAAAATACCCTAGAAGAGTTTAGCCTGCGGCTGGTGTCTGGTACTCAGGCCGCTGCCCAGGGGAGCCCCAAGGCTTTTATCACTCTGTGCTGTTTTGCAGTCTGTTCTCATTCACCAAATCCTCCAGTATGCAGAACGCCCCTCCAAGAGTGTCTTCATGGGCATTGCCTTGTGTGTGGCCCTTTTTTTCACTGAGTTTACCAAAGTTTTATTCCGGGCACTAGCCTGGGCTATAAATTATCGCATGGCCATCTGGCTGAAAGTTGTCACCTCAACCGTAGTTTTTGAAAACCTGGTTTCATTCAAGACTCTGACACACATCTCCGTTGGTGAGGTAAGGCACCAGAGTCTTGTATTAGAAGAATAAATCTGGTAAGTGGGTTTTCTTTATCCATTTGTCAGCATCTCTATCTGACAGTGCTGTATAGTGGAAAGGGTGGAGGGCTTAAAAATCATGGCTAGGTTAAAGGTGGAACTCTGCAGCTCTATCCTGAGCCCCCTTCCCTTCACACTATTATCTCATTTGTTGATCTAATCAGCTCCCACTGGTTCAATTATCATCTCTACTCAGATGATTCCCAAGTCTACACATCCAGTTCTAGTTTCTCTACTGAGGTAAACTCACACCAACAAATGTCTCTTGGACTTCTTGAACTGGACACCCCATAAATGTCTCTAATGCAATATGCTCATAATAGATCTCATTATCCTTCTACTCAAACTTCCCCTTCCTCTGACCTAACCTATTACTCTCTAGGGCACCATCATCCTATCTTCTCAACCTCTCCAAGGCTTATAAGTTTGGTATCATCCTCAACTTCTCACCCCACAAATTCAATCTATTACCAAGTCTTGTCAAGTCTACCTTCACAACATTTCTCTTTATCTTGTTATATTTGGTCCTGGAGGTAAAAGGGAATCACTGGAATTTACAGGGTGGAAGGGGGAAAGGGTGTGTGACATAGTCAGACCTACACTTTAGGAGAATCAATTTAGCGCTTGAATGGAAGATGGATTGTGGTGGGGATATATTTGAGGCAGGCAGATCAGTTAGAAGGCTATGTGATAATCCAGGTGAAAGGTGATGAAGGCCCAAAGGAGAGGAAACATATGTGAAAATTGCTATGAAAGTAGAAATGACAAAATTTTGCGATAGGCTGGGTAAGTGGAATGAGTAAGAGTGAGGAGTCAGGGAAGATATTGAGGTAGTAAACCTCAGAGACTGGTAGGATGGTAGTGTCCTTGATAGCAACAAGGAAGTTAAGAAAAGGGGGGAGTTTTGAGAGAAAGATGAATTCTGTTTTAGATGAGTTGCATTTGAGATATCTATGTATGCATGAAGTTTGAGATGTCCAAAAGGTGATTTGTGGCTGTAGTTCAAGAGAGATACTAGGTTGGTAAACACAAACATAGGAAACATTTGCATAGAAATGATAATTAAACTCAAGGGAGCTGATGAGATCACTAAGGGAGACAGTAGAGAGGGAAAGAGAAGGATAGAGTCTTGAGGAACACTCGCAATTAGTGAATGTGATATTAATGAAGAAACAGCTAAAGAGACTGAGGAGAGGTCAGAGAGAGAGAGAAGGAAAACTAAGAGCAACAGATTTCACGAAAAGCCAGAGAAGACACAGCATCCAGGAGGAGAGGGTAACAATGTCAAATGCTGCAAAGAGGGAAATAATGGAGACAGAGAAAAGGCCATTAGATTTGGCAATTAAGGGATCATTGGTATAACCATGGAGAATACAATTTCAGTTGAATGATGAGGTTGGGAACCACATCACAAAGGGTTTTGGAAGAGAGGGTGAGAAGTGGAGGAAACAAATGAAGAGAGCTTTCTCAAAGAATTTAGTTACAATGGGAATGAAAGAAATGTGAAAATAGCTAATGGGGATGGTAACATCAAAAAAGGGCTACTTTTTTAAGGATGCAGGAGACATGAGTACATTTGTAAGCAAAGTGAAGAAGCCTGTAAATAGAGGATGACAATCAAGAAAATCAAGAGTGTGGATAGTAAGTCAGGGAAAAAAAAACAACAGGAGAGAGTGAGATCAAGGGGGTAATTGTAGAGAGGTTTACTTTGGCAAGGAGAAGGACCACTTCTTTGGTAGAGACCAGAGTGAAGGAGGAGATAGTTTTTGATATGTGAGATGAGGAAAGGGTAAAGGGGTGGGGGGGGGTTCCTCACAGCAAACAGCTTCCATTAAAATTTTTTTTGGTGAAATATGAGGCAAAGTCTCTGGGATAGAGAGTGGGGGGAGAAGGTACCTTAGAGGTTTCAGATGAGACAAGAAGGTTTGGAATAGCTGCTATGGAAAGTGGGATAGAGTAAAACAATTGCGTTACTGTAGAGAAGGTCCAGTTAAGAAGAGCTAATATAAATTTGTTGTGGACCCAGTTGGCATGGTTTTGTGATTTCTTCTAGCTCTGTTCAGCAGCATCTGAGCAAGTACGAAGGAAGTGTGGATGGTAGGAGTAATCTAGGTTTGTGGTTTGGCAAGGCATGATGCGTGATAGTAGAAGAGGGCAAGGGACATGAGAAAACAGGATAGTATGTTCACCAAGAATAGGGAAAGGAGAATAGAGCCAATGAAAGGGAGGTGTTCTGGAAAAGAACAAGGGTGAAGAAAATAGAAGTCTTAGTCAGAATGAATGACAAAGTTAGGGGTCATAAGGCATAAAGAAAGATGGTATGATAAAATATTAATATCAAATAAAGGAATTTCAGAGTCTAAGAGCATGAAAGTGGAAGAGTTGTGGGTGATTGGCAAAGGGTATGAGCACCTCTGCATGTAGCTGAGATGGAGAGGAGGATTAGGCATGGAAACTCAGTAGACTGAGAAATGGAGAATTTAGGATATTTGAGGGAGTATTAATGCATATGTCAAAGTGCCTGAGTATGAGGGCAGGGATTGAGATAGAGGAAAACACTGTGAACCAGGCACTGAATTCACTGAGAAAAAAAGGTGAATATCCTGGGGATTGAAAGATAATGGTCACCAGGATCTGAATTGGGTGATAAATATGGATATTGTGAACCCCAAAGGAGGAAAGGTTACTCCTGATGATGCTAGAGGGAGAACTTGGAAGTAGCAATGAAGAGCATTATCTGTGAGGTTTCTGGGCACCCCTAACCCCACTCTCTGGGTTTACTTTTCCACCCATGGGCTTGCATGGGCAGTGGTTGTATGTGGTCTTCTTCTTGCATGGCTGTCTGGATTATTTTTTATGATTGTCTAATGCTTCTCAGGGCTCAACCTTTGTCTATGAGTTTTTGTGTCCTGCTACAGACCTCTTGGTGTCAGTTTTATTTGAGATAGAGTAATTTTATTTCCAGCACTGGAAATCTTTGTAGTTTCCCAAGAACTCATGGCAATTCTAGAAAAAAAATTGAGCTGAGGAAATGTTTTGTTCCTGAAAAAAATGAACCCTTTTGTTATTTAAACACATATTTTCTTTTCAGGTCATCAATATATTATCAAGTGATGGCCATTCCTTATTTGAAGCTGCCTTATTTTGTCCACTGCCAGCTACAATTCCTGTCCTGATGGCAGTCTGCTCAGTGTATGCTTATTTCATTCTGGGGCCCACAGCTCTCACTGGGACATCCCTATATGTGATGTTCATCCCCATTCAGGTAGGATCTTTGATTTACCTGCTGGTTTGAAGCAAACCATCCAAATACATCTGGACATTTAGATCTCTTGTCCAGGAAAAGTGTGAGTTTCCTCACCACATGTTGCATAAGAAACATGTCTAATTTGGTACAATGATAATATATATTTCTCTGGGCTGCCACAAGGCCATTTCAATACTTGAAATGACCAAGATTTAAAGAGTCTGCTACTGAAACTTCCTATACCTACCATCTTTGATTAGGAAGGTAATGCTAAGAGGCTACCGCCATCTGGACCTTTCCTGGTATCCTCCTCCAGTGTGACATCATGCTATGGAGATTCTTGACTATAGGTTCTTCAAGGCTCTAACAGCAGAATGTGAATTCTGCTAGGTTGTACCCAAGCCAACAAAGCTTTGTGTATAGGCCTGGTGACAGACTGCATGGCTACTCTCCCAAGATCAGTCTTATAAGTTTAGAGAAGCTTACTAGTGTATTGGCCACAGGGTGATGAACTTGTGGATGGACCCTCACCAACTTACAGAGACTGCCTCCTCAGGTGTAGGGGAGTTACAATCTTTTGAATCAGGAATGACCTGCACTGATCTTTGAAGTTCCACTGAATGAATCATGCATCAATCTACTAAGTCCCATTCAATTAAAAAAAAAAAAACAACACTCCAGACATTAAAACCCATAAGGAACATGTACCAGTGATAACAGTAGCTGGGTATGCCAACTAAGTTTTCTTCCTAGCTCCTTCCCCATCCTCCTGCTATTCATCCTGATGCCCAGTGACTTCATGTTGTAACCAGATAGACTCTCAACCTTTACCTCCTCTCCCTGATCAACTATCCTTCCTGGCTTCCCCTGTGTAATCATTTAATCTTTATCCATTTCTACTGACCTTTCTCTTTGCTAGTTAGTCTGATGGATTGAGTTAAGGTACTAATAACTAATAATGCCTTTCCTCTCCTCACAGATTCATACAATTATTAGATCTCAAAAGGCCCTTTTCTTCATTAATGTTCTTCACTAATGCCTCACTCTGAAGAGTAGGTGGCCCTGCCTTCTTTAAGTCTATGTCAGCAGGGCACGATCACTGGCAAGTCACCCTAAGCTGAAAAGACTTTGAGTACACGCCTAACTGGAGCCTCTCTGATCAGAGCAGGTATATAGCCCCCTCTCTCTTCTATGCTATGCAGCAACCTGGCCTTGAGAATAGAGTGTGAGATTTAGAGTCAAGACACGGGTTCAACTTCAGCCTCAATGGTACAGAAATGTGAGTTTTCATTCTGATGGCATAGAGGATTGGCTCTGACAATGAGGGTCTCAGCCTTCACCCGAGAACCTTACCCTGTAAAGGTAATATGCTTCACTGATTGGGGTATGATTTAAATTTGAACAAGAAATCCAAGAGGGAGTAGAGGAAGAATTTCCTACCCTTCATGGTTCTTAAGGTCATATCTGAGATGATTTATTCATCTTGCAGAGTCAGTCAGTCAGCAAGCACTTATGAAGTGCCTACTATGTGTCCCCAGGGACACAAAGAGCAGCAAAAGATAGTCCTTAGTCTCAAGGAACTCACAGTTTAATGAGAGAGACTAGAGATGTGGCAGAACTTGATTGAAATACATTCATTAAAAAAATGACAACAAACCAATACGATTATTTGAGGCCAAAAAGAATTAGGATTATGAAGAGCACATAGTGACAAATATCCAAAGAAGCAAATGAAAGGGCAAAGTAACAGATAATACTGAATTCTGAATCAGAATGGAAGAAAGTGTTTCAGTTGATTTCCGAGTAATGAGTATTAGCCATTTAATGATGATGATGAAGATGATGATGATAATGATGATAATGATGATGATGATGATGATGATGATGATGATGATGTTCTCTCTTCCCCTTTGGAGTTTCATTGCTCCAAAGGCTCAATCTTCAAGCTAACTGAAGTCACTCCCCAAGCTGAAGCCTTACCTGTTTCTTTGAATCTTTGGTTTTAGCCCAACTGCAATGCAGTGATCCTCTGTGAAGGTAACACTTTGCTCCTTGATTTCAGACGTTTATGGCTAAGCTCAATTCGGCCTTTTGAAGATCTGCCATTACTATAACAGACAATTGTGTCCAGATAATGAATTAATTTTTGATCTGCATTAAGCTTATTAAAATGTATGCCTGGGGAAAATCCTTTACAACCAACATCTGAGGTAAAATAAACATGGACCCCCTTTACAGAATCACTTACTTTGTAAAACATGCTAATCAAAGAAGGTTAAAAAAAAAAGACAAAAGAATTCCAGTAGCCTCTAAGAGGTTTCTTCTCAGGATTTGAGAATGAATGTGTTTATTAGATAATAGACCCAGGAATCTGTTCTTGTACCTCCAAAGTCTCTGTGGGTTGATAATACATGATTTAATATTTACTGGGGAACATTCCAGTAATGCTATTGAAGGGTCCAGGTGGGGTGGTGGAGGAAGGCTGGATCATCTTTAAGTAAAACATTTCACCAGAATACTGCATTCGGGAAGAAAGCTGCCTAAAGCTATTTACTGGAATTATCTGTCATAGTCACATAGTATTTGGATGCTAGAATGATGTGTTCTTCCTTAGTTGGAGAAACTAAGATATATTCTTTTTTTCCTTAAAAAAAGACAATATAAAAATTATTTAAATAGAATCTAAATGTAAATTTAATTGCAGGGACATTTACATAATTGTTCTCATGGAATCAGGTGGTTGGCCAGTTAATGATCTGAACTACCATTTACAATTGCCTCTCTGGTTCTACAATTACACTTTTGTTGCACCAGCAATTAACTTTAGGGCTGAAAATATTGTGTTATCCTATGTGAGGCCAGAATTAGCAAATGAATTCTAAGTGTGCCAAAAGAAGTGCTATGCCTCATGATGTCCTTTTTCCATGGTCATCACAAATGTCACATACATATCCTCAGCTTTGGAAAAGAGGAGACTTTCCTGCTTTCTAGCAAGAAAAGCCTATAGCTTTTTATAGACTCCCAGAACACAGGATGACAGAAGCAAGGTAGGACCTTAGAAACAATCTAAGATAGTCCTCTTCAATTTACAGTTGGGGAAACTGAGGACCCAAATGGAGAGGTGACTTGCCCAACATCAGTGCTGTACATGCAATATCATACTATTTTGGACTATTTTTTTCTTTCACAGGCATAAGGAAGAAGGAAAAGAAATCGCTGGAAAGGGCAGGGTTTATAAGAGTGGAAACTCAGCTCTTGCACCTACCGTGTCCAGGAAGGCCATTGTCCTGATTTTCGCTTTCCTGATCTTTTAAAAAGAAAGCTCCCAACACCCGTTGTAAGACAAGTCTCTTTGTCTCCTCTTTCTCTATCTGTTTAAGGTATCCCTTTTATGCCACCCCAGGAAGCTTGGGGTATCTGGGAGGGTAGCCATTCCCCAATGTTTCTCTACCAGGGCACAGGGCCCAATTGGTGGAGACCTTCATCTCTTCAGGACTTCATGTGGCTCAATCTGACATTTGTTCCTCCCTTTTAAAAAGAAGTGTTTGGGGGCAAGGGTGGGAGTCAAAGGTAAAGGAAAGTGTTACATTGGAGGAGCCTTGAAAAAATAGAAAAGGGAAATTACCTATTTAAAGGATAAGACAGTAAAGAAAGAAAAGCATAGAAAGAGAAGTCCAATCAGAAGGGTGGTGTAAGAATGGGGAGAAGGGGAGAGTTGGAAATGTGGGGCAGTGTTTCCAGTACCTAACACATACTAAGAGCTTAATAAATAATTGTGGAACTGAATATTTGTCTGAATACAAGAGAAAGTCAAAATTTCTTTAGAGGCTAGGGGGGTTTTTGGCGTTGGCAACTCAGACTACCTCCTAAGGTATCAGATCAAGAGGGAACTCAGAATGTAGGTGGGAGGTGAAGTCAGAGAAGAAAGCAAGGCAAGACCTGAGGAAAACAGGAAAGTCAGTGAGAAAAATAACGTACATGGGAAATAGGCAGTAGAATCAGGACTGAGGAAGCTGAATGTGATGGGGAGATGTTTTGAAAAGCCAGAACTCTCTGTCTCAGGGGAATGTGGAGTTGTTGGTAAGAAGGACACCTTGCATTTGTCTGGTATAATAAAATACGGACCTTTTACTTTTTTGAGAGCACCTGTGTATGTGTCATATACTCTCAAACACTCCAGGGGTTTGAACTGAACCACAAACTGGAACAAATTGTACTAATTTGCTAAAGACCTAACCCTGATGCTATTTTTTTTACTTAACTTTTTTTTTTACTTAACTGGGACACAAACTAAATTTTTCACCCATTGTTTTATTTTTCCTCCCCCAGAAAACACAAATTCACCAGTTCAGACCTCTAGATGCTGAGGATCTGGTTTAAATTCTGATCCCATTGCTTACTAAGTGACCTCATGCAAATTTCTTATCCTAACTGAACTTGTTTCATCATCTGTAAAATGAGGAGGTTGGATTAAATAATTTCTAGAATGTCTTCCAGCTCTAAATCCTATTCAACCAACGAAATCAGAATTGAGTCTACATATTTTCTAAAACTGTTGAACCAGAGCAAAGTCAGAATCACCAAAAAATCCTCTGTACCAGTATTTCATTCACTTTGAGTTCCTGGCCTAGTCACCTCTCTCCTTCCCTTCACAGTGCCAAATAAAGTCCTTAGCTTTGTGTCGGGCCTGGAGGGAACTTATGACTAGATAACCATTTCACACACCTACCAATAAAACAGCTGAAGAGAGGAGCACCGTTCAGTGAGTGGGAGCATTCTGCATGTGTGTGTTTGTGGGGGGGATTACTGGGATGGAGGAGATGAGAGTTCTCACCATTCTTATGGAAGAATTAGCTGAAACCTGGCACTGTTACTCAATGATACGCCAAACAGCAGTCAGGAATCCCTCAGGATTCAAAGAAAGCAGATGTGATGTCAGCTTTTAAAGTGGGTGGTTGGGGAGAAGCCGTCAATTACAGATTGCTAAGTCTGACTCCAGTCTCAGCAAATACACAGGTGCTGTTTATTGCGGATGAAACGATGTGTCACTTAAGATGGAAATGGGGAATGAGGCACTGCACTGAACCTGGTCAGGGCCAGCTGACTGATTTCTTCAAAGGAATGACATGGCATGCTGGAGAAGGCAAAGCAGAGAAGGCGATTTCCTACCATGTATGGGGCACTTGGGATAGGAACCACATTCCTGGTATTTCCCAAGCCAGGTTCTCATGTACAGACCAAAATGTAGCTGGTAAGGCTAGGCCACTCCAGAGAAGTCACTGGCATGCTCCTTCTCAGAAATGAGAGCAGGCCCAGGGTCAGCAACAGCCCCAGCCCATGTAGTTACCAGACACACTGAAGATGGCTTGGAGATGGAAACTCCCAAAGGAATACCTCTTCAAGGAACTGGAGGAGGCTAGTTCATGAAAAACCTACAAAGGCAATTGAATTGATGATGATGGTGGGGCAGGGAGGTACAAAGGAAAAAGAAAACCTGTATGCAAATCCCAACTCTGATCTACCTGTGTGACCTTGGGCTAATCACTTCATCTCTCTGGGTAGGCCTCAGTTTCCCCACCTGTAAAATTAGGGGGTTGGACTTGATGGACTCCTAGCTCTAGATCTCTGATCCTGTAAGATCAGATGGGAGCATACTCAACTTACAAGTGCAGTCTGTTCTGAGGCCTAGTCGTCCTTCTCTGGTCTGGCCTCTCCTAATAAATGTACTTCTTTTTAGTCAGCAGAATATCCTCAATTCATAGGCTTGTGGTGAGGAAATCACTTGGTTGACCTTAAAACCTTGTAGGAGTAGGAGTTATGAAATATGCTTCTTACTTAGATACAACTTGCCAACACGTTGTCTCTAAGCCAAAGGGGAGTGGGAGAGGGGGAAAGGCTTTTCCAGAGGCTTCAAACTCTGATTCAGTATTTCTCATCTCAATAAGTTGTAACCCCCACGAATGAATGGCTAATGGCCCATCCCAAACCCTCATACTTTCCCTTTGTCCTGCAGGCGTTTAGTGTGATTTCCATGTTTAATGTAATGAAGTTTTCAATTGCAATCTTGCCTTTCTCAGTCAAAGCAGTGGCAGAAGCTAACGTTTCTCTAATAAGATTGAAGGTATAACTGTCTTTGGGTGAGTAGGGAGGGGAGTTTCCATTTCTGGGAAGGTTTCTAGGCCCAGAAAATATTCTCTTTTAGTCTGGGGAAAATAGCAGAGATTCAGTGGATGGATTGTTTCTTCAGGTGGGTGGTCATGGTGGAAAGGTCTCACTCTAGAACTGGATGAATATATATGGATAAAGGTATAGCATTAGTTTTACCTGTGCTGTGGTCTTTAGTAAAAGGTAAAAATGTCCGTTGTACATGGAGACAATTCCCCTAAACCATCATCAGAAGGACATGTTCCTCAAGCTTTGTTTTTTTCTGCTTTCTCTTCTCTCCAGTCTACCCTTCCCACCACTGCCAGAGGCACAGTGGTAAGATGGAAAGTGGTGTGGGTTTAGTATCAGAGGACATAAGTTCAAATCCTGGCTTTGTCATTTAGTAACCCAATCAACAATCATTTATTAAGCACTTACCAGGTGTCAGGAACTGTGCTAAATGCTGAGGAGATAGACATTTGAGATATCCAAAAAGCAGTTGGTGATGCAGGATTGTAGTTTAGGAGAAACACAAGACTGAATTTATACATCTGGGATCATCTGCATAGAGACAGTATTTGAACCCATGTCATTTAATACCCCTGTGACTTGGTAAGTAACATACTGTCTGGACTTCAAGTCCCTCATTTGTAAAATGGAAGGTTAGACTCAATGACCTCTAATGTCCCTTTAGTTCTAAATCTATGATCCTAAGATCTTTCTTATGAATACATCTGGTGGTTTCACTACTCTGCTCTAAAATCTCAAATGTCTTTTCTTAGCTTAGCATTCAAGGCTGTATCCAATCTGATGCCACCTTACCTTTCTAGTCCTATCCTTATATCATCCACCAATGGCTTACTCTTTGCTGCTTGACCAAGTTCAGCTCTCTTTTGCCCCTATGTCTTTTCTTATACTGTCACCTAAATGTAGAATCCTCCTTCCTTCTTGTTTCATTTCAATAAATATTTATTAACTGCCTACTATGTGAAAGGCACTATCAAATTCCTATTTATCTTTTAAAGCTTAGCTAAAATGCTTCCTCTTCTATGAACAAAATCTGTTACCCTACAAAGTAATAACATTTCCCTTTCATCTAGCATACCATTTTGTTTTGTGCTTTTCTAGTGCACTTATTATGTATTACTTACTGTGTGTTACAGTTTTTGTGGTTTTGTTTTATCTCCTTACTTGACTGTAAACTCCATGAGGGCAGGGACCATGTCTTAGCCAAACTTAATATCTGCCCCAGTGCTTAGCAGTGTCCTGCATATAGTAGGCTCTTTATAAAGTTTCCCGTAAGAGGGATGGATTTCCACTAAACTATTCATGCTCTCTAATTTTATTTCCCCTCCCTCCCACCCTAGCCCTAGTGAACAACAGTACACTTTTGGGAAATAGCTGGGTGGAGTGCCCTGATTTGATTAAAATAGCAATCTAACCATTAAGCAGTCTACCATTTGAATGACAGTCTTGGCCTCATGCATGTGTATGGGAATATAGCTTACAGCAACCTCCCCTATATGGACATGTTATATGCTAAAAAACTAAATGGAAAGATTCACTGAATAGGTAAAGCTAACAAACCAACTTGCCATAATGCTGTCATACCTTCTGAATAGCTTGAAGTTACCTAGATTGCATAGAGTCATGGAAAATGCTGTGATGTTTCCTTCAGGTAGACAGTGTCTCAAAAATTAAATTTATCTCTTTAATTTTAGAAAATTCTTGTAAACGAAAGCTCCCTGACTTATATCACCCAACCAGAAGATGCAGATACTGTCTTGGTACTAAAAAATGCTACTTTGTCTTGGGAACAATAACCTAGCAGGATAATTATCCCAGGGAAAGAAGGTAGTAAGAAGAAGATCTTTAACTCAAAACCAGGCCTGGAGACTTCCAGAGCCTTGAGTCTGAAATTCCAAGGGCTTGTTGGGCCAGATGAGGAAAAAGAGAATACAAGCCCAGTTCTGTGAAAAATAAGTTTGACTGTGAAAAATGTAGATTTTTCAATCCCAGGGTACCTCTCCCAAGCCTTTCACTTGAGATCCCAATGTCCACCTTCACATGAACTTCTCAAGGGCTTATATACAGAAATGAGACCTAGAAGTTGTAGGATTTTTGAGAAAAGGCACTACATTTTTCTCTCTGCTCTCTAAAAAGAACCTGGCCTGACTTATTTTAATTTATACATGTGCATATTAGAGGGATATGCTTATCTCTACTGGAAGACAGCAGATACCTTTGATCAATGCACAAATACATCTGTGGAGGGAGTGGGGCACATACCCACTTGCATGCAGCCAGGATTGAAGAAACACAAATGTTTTAGCGTTCTTAATTCTTTGAAAAAATGAAGCATGCTGATATAATAGAATCAGTGACCAGGAACTACTCTTCCTTTCAGAGTTGCTAAATCAAAATAAGCTACATCCTTAGTTGCAAAGGTGTGGGGTAGGGTGGGCAGAGAGGCAACATTCTTTAAAAAAAAATTTTTTTTATTAATTTTTTTTGATTTATCAATAATCACTTCCATATGCTTTTGAGTTAAAAATTTTTCTCCCCCTTCCTCCCCACCACCCTCCCCAAGACAGTGCACAATCTGATATAGGCTATACATTTACATTCATATTAAACATATTTTCACATTAGTGATGTTGTAAGTAGAAATTAAAATCAATAGGAGGAACCATCAGAAAGAGGAAACAAAACTCAACAGAAGAGAAAAAAAATAACAATTTGGCTTCCATAGATCTTTCTTTGGGTGTGGATAGCATTTTCCATCACGAGGCCTCTGGAGATGTCTTAGATCCTTGTATTGCCAAGAAGGGTTAAGTTTATCAATATTAGTCATCACACAATGTGGCCGTTATTGTGTACAACTTTCTCTTGGTTCTGCTCACTTCACTCAGCATCAGACCATACAAGTTTTTCCAGGTTTTTCTGAAGTCAGCCTGTTCATCATTTCTTACAGCACAATAGTATTCCATCACATTCATATACTACAACTTGCTCAGCCATTCCCCAATTGATGGGCATCCCCTCAATTTCCAATTCTTTGCCACCACAGAAAGAGCTGCTATGAATATTTTTGTACATGAATATTTTTGTACATGTAGGTCCTTTTCTCATCTGTGTGATGTCTTTGGGATATAGCCCTAGAAGTGCTATTGCTGCTATTGTCAAAGGGTATGCACATTTTTATAGCCCTTTGGGCATAGTTCCAAATTGCTCACCAAAATGGTTGGATCATTTCACAACTCCACCAACAATGCATTAATGTTCCAATTTTCCCACATCTTCTCCAACATTATCATTTTCCTGTTTTGTCATGTTGGCCATTCTGATGGGTGTGATGTGGTATCTCAGAGCTGTTTTGATTTGCATTTCTCTAATCAATAGTGATTTAGAGCATTTTTTCATATGACTATAGATGGCTTTAATCTCTTCATCTGAGAACCATCTGTTCATATCCTTTGACCACTTATCAATTGGGGAATGGCTTGTATTCTTATAAATTTGACTTAATTCTCTATATATTTTAGAAATGAGGCCATTATCAGAGAGACTGGTTGTAAAAATTCTTTCCCAATTTTCTACCTTCCTTCTAATCTTAGTTGCATTGACTTTATTTGTGCAAAAACTTTTCAATTTAATGTAATCAAAATTATCTCTTTTGCTTTTCATAATATTCTCTATCTCCTGTTTGGTCATGAATTCTTCTGTTCTCCATAGATCTGACAGGTAAACAATTCCTTGCTCTCTCAGTTTCCTTATAGTATCAGCCTTTATATCTAAATCATGTACCCATTTTGACTATATTTTGGTATATAGTATTAGATTTTGGTCTATGCCTAGTTTCTGCCATACTCTTTTCCAGTTTTCCCAGCAGTTTTTTTCGAAGAGTGGGTCCTTATCCCAGAAGCTGGGGTCTTTGGGTTTATCAAATAATATATTACTATAGTCATTGACTACTGTGTCTTGCATACTTAACCTATTCCACTGATTCACCACTCTATTTCTTAGCCAGTACCAAGCAGTTTTGATGATTGCTGCTTTATAATACAATTTAAGATCTGGAATAGCTAAGTCACCTTCCCCTGTATTTCTTTTCATTAGTTGTCTTGATATTCTGGACCTTTTGTTCTTCCAAATGAATCTTGTTATTATTTTTTCTAATTCTATAAAATAATCTGTTGGTAGTTTGATTGGTGTGGCACTGAATAAGTAAATTAGCTTAGGTAGAATTGTCATTTTTATTATATTAGCTCGGCCTACCCATGAGCAACTGATGTTTTTCCTATTATTTAGATCTGATTTTATTTGCGTGAAAAGTGTTTTGTAATTCTGCTCATAGAGTTCCTGGGTTTGTTTCGGGAGGTAGACTCCTAAATATTTTATAATGTCTACAGTAAGTTTAAATGGAATTTCTCTTTCTATCTCTTGCTGTTGGGCTTTGTTGGTAATATATAGAAATGCCAGTGATTTCTGTGGGTTCATTTTATAACCTGCAACTTTGCTAAAGTTGTTTATTATTTCAAGTAGTTTTTTACTTGATTCTCTGGGATTCTCTAAGTATAACATCATGTCATCTGCAAAGAGTGATAGCTTTGTTTCTTCTTTGCCTATTCTAATGCCTTCAATGTCTTTTTCTTCCCTTATTCCTAAAGCAAATGTTTCCAGTATGATGTTGAATAACAGTGGTGATAGTGGACATCCTTGTTTCACCCCTGATCTTATTGGAAATGCTTCTAGCTTGTCCCCATTACATATTATGCTTGCTAAAGGTTTTAGATAGATGCTATTTATTATTTTAAGGAAGACTCCATTTATACCTATGCGCTCTAGTGTTTTTAATAGGAATGGGTGTTGTATTTTGTCAAAAGCTTTTTCTGCATCTGTTGAGATGATCATGTGGTTTCTGTTAGTTTTGGTGTTGATATGATGGATTATGCTGATAGTTTTCCTTATATTGAACCAGCCCTGCATTCCTGGTATAAATCCTACCTGGTCATAGTGTATTATTTGTGTGATAAGTTGATGTAATCTATTTGCTAATATTTTGTTTAAAATTTTTGCATCTATATTCATTAGAGAAATTGGTCTATAATTTTCCTTCTCTGTTTTAACTCTTTCTGGTTTAGGTATCAGCACCATATTTGTATCATAAAAAGAATTTGGTAAGATTCTTTCTTTACCTATTTTACCAAATAGTTTATATAGTATTGGAATTAATTGTTCTTTAAATGTTTGATAGAATTCACATGTAAATCCATTTGGCCCTGGAGATTTTTACCTAGGGAGTTCATCAATGACTTGTTCAATTTCTTTTTCTGAGATGGGGTTATGTAAGTATTTCACTTCCTCTTCTGTTAATCTGGGCAATTTATATTTTTGTAAATATATATCCATTTCACTAAGATTGTCAAATTTGTTGGCATATAGTTGGGCAAAATAATTTCTAATTGTTGTTTTAATTTCCTCTTCCTTGGTGTTAGTTTCACCGTTTTCATTCTTGATACTAGTAATTTGGTTTTCTTCTTTCTTTTTTAAAATTAGATTAACCAAAGGTTTATCTATTTTATTGGTTTTTTCATAAAACCAGCTCTTAGTTTTATTTATTAGTTCAATAGTTTTCTTAATTTTGATTTTATTAATTTTTCCTTTGGTTTTCAATATTTCTAATTTGGTGTTTAATTGAGGATTTTTAATTTGTTCTTTTTCTAGTTTTTTTAGCTGTATGCCCAATTCATTGATTTCCTCTTTTTCTATTTTATTTATGTAAGCATTTAGAGATATGAAACTTCCCCTGAGAACTGCTTTTGCTGCATCCCATAAGTTTTGGTATGTTGTCTCATTATTGTCATTCTCTTGAATGAAATTATTGATTGTTTCTATGATCTGTTGTTTGACCCAATCATTTTTTAGGATTAGATTATTTAGTTTCCAGTTATTTTTTAGTCTATCTTTCCATGGCCCTTTATTACATTAATTATTACAATAATTTTTATTACATCATGATCTGAAAAGGATGCATTTACTATTTCTGCCTTTCTGCATTGGATTGTGAGGTTTTTATGCCCTAGTACATGGTCAATTTTTGTGTATGTGCTATGTACTGCTGAGAAAAAAGTATATTCCTTTCTATCCCCATTCAGTTTTCTCCACAGGTCTATCGTACCTAACTTTTCTAATGTTCTATTCACCTCCTTAACTCCTTTGTTGTTTATTTTGTGGTCAGATTTATCTAGTTCAGAGAGGGGGAGGTTGAGGTCCCCCACTAGTATAGTTTTGCTGTCTATTTCTTCCTGTAACTCCCTGAACTTCTCCTCTAAGAATCTGGATGCTATACCATTTGGTGCATATATGTTTAGTAATGATATTACTTCATTGTCTATGGTGCCTTTAGCAGGATGTAGTTTCCTTCCTTATCTCTTTTGATAAGATCTAGTTTTGCTTTTGCTTTGTCTGAGATCAGGATTGCTATCCCTGCTTTTTTTACTTCAGCTGAAGCATAATATATTTTGCTCCAACCTTTTACCTTTACCCTGTATGTGTCACTCTTTTTCAAATGTGTTTCGTGTAAACAACATATTGTAGGATTATGGTTTTTAATCCAATCTGCTATATGCTTCCATTTTATGGGAGAGTTCATCCCATTCACATTTACAGTTATGATTACTATCTGTGTCTTTTTCTCCATCCTTTTCTTCCCCCCTGTTTATGCTTTTCTTTCTCCTTTCTCCTTTCCCCCCCTCACTAGTGTTTTGTTTTAGACCAGTGCCTCCTTTGGTCCCACCTCCCTTCTATT